TGTGATCTTTTGTGTCCTGGAAAGTGAGGATGTTTTCGGCAACATTTTTTTTCTGGCCCGCATTTTCTTCAAAGCGCCGCTTGAGGGTTGAGATGTGAGGTTAGAGCAAAGGTTCGGCTAAAGTTTGGCTTCTAAAGTGTGGATTATGTCAATGAGGGTCCTCAAATGCGGGGACACATATGTGTGCATGTGCTGGTGGGTGAGTGAAGGTCTCTTAGCTGAAAGATCTCCAACTTCACAGCTCCAAGAAATGCTAAAGCATCACATATCCACACACAGTCGCAGCAAAACAGCAGATGCACGCTGACACACACACACACACACACACACACACACACTGCGACACACAGAGATAAACACACACAAACACACTCGCGGAGCGTAACAAAGCCTCCTGTGGTGCAACAGAGATGAGAGGCACAAAAAGATGCAAGAAGTGCAGGGAGTGACAGCAGAAAAGGTTGGGAGAGAAAAGCAAAAAAAAAAAAACACATGAAACAGAGGTGTCTACAGTAGTGGAATAGCAAAGTAACAAATCCACACTCTCAGCCTCACATTATGTCGTTTTCCTCCCTAGAAAGAAACGAGGGAGAAAGTCGAAGAAAGTGAACGACGGATGAAAAAGGCAAGACGGGAAGGAAAGAAGCTGATGAGAGCTAATGCTTTCCCTGTCACTTTTCACTTCAGTCGGGCCGAGGAAGATTTCGCTTCTGCCTCCGCCGCTGATTAGGCGGCGAGCCAAAAAAACAGCAGGACAGACATTGTTTGTGGGATGAGACGAAAGAGTGAAACAAGCGACTGGTGCCTTTGTTGCTCTAATCACAACCGCCTATTCTTTTCAACAAACATCCATTCATTACTGATAACAACAAGAGAAAAAAAAAACTGCACGAGGATGAATTATTACACAATTACATTACAAATACTGCTGAATCTTAATGAAAGGAGGTTATCAACAATCTCCACGGTGCCTCACAGAGCTGAAAGAAAGAAAAATGTGAGATGTCGGTATAATTGTAAAAATAACAGCCTAAGAAGCCATTTCCTTGTCCCTCTCAGCGCATTTACTGGAGGACTTCAGCCCTGTCCACTTACTATTATTGACTCTCAGATGGGATCACCATGGTAACAGGCCTCAGGGAGCCTGCAACGGACCCGATCTACCCTGCATCCAAGGCTGCGAGCTTCACAACGCACAGACCTGAGCGCGCACAAACACCTACACCCTCGCGCACGCTCACACTCAAGCACACACAAGAAATGAGACGGAAAAAACTGGATCACTTTTGTGAGACAGATACCAATTGGATGACATTTGAATGGATGGAAGCTCCGGCGGAACAAATGAGTTCATTTCTACTGTTCATGTCGCAGTCCAGACCTCCCTCTGGATATCAAACCGAGATCACGCTGAAACGCTGGAGCGACGCCTGTTGCGAATTGTACTTTTCACAGCTGAATCCTATATTTCTGCGAGCACGGAGCGGCGACAGATAAAAGCGTCAGAAAAAAAAAAAAGAAAAAAGACGCTTTAGATTTACACAATCAGGCTCGCTGCTCCCAATCAGCCAAGAAGAAATGCACGCACAGCTGCGGTGAATGTTAAATGACAGGGAGGCAGGCAACACTCAGGTGAAACCAACATGAGTAAGCGTTTGGAAGGAGAAAGGCCTGCCCTTGGTACTGTAAGCTAAAGGCTTGTAAAGTCCTAATTTGTGAGACTCTTAAAGATTGATCAAGTGTTTCTGTATCTCGCAGTTTAATAACCAGCCGTGATTTAAAGAAGCTGTAAATTTTAATGGGACCTTTAAACTATAACTCATGCTTATGTCCAGCAGTTCCTCCTTTGTTTGTTTATTCATGATTCGCACCACAGGAGGCGAATGAATATTAAAGAGGCAATCACGACCACTGGGAAATTACAAAACTGCAGTTACCAAAGTAACATTTGCCATGGTGAAAGATCAGAAGGATCAAAAGCTAATGAGAATCTGGAGGACAGTAAGATTAAGGGGGCACTTGAGCAATTTAGTATTGCTCTTCCGTGAAGTGGCTGGACTTTCAGGAGGCAGTTTGAACAAAAAAGGGCCAGCAAAGGACAGGATGCCCAGATCTTTACCCCTAGTATCGATAAAGCCCCCACAATCACTTTATCCTACATTTCCTTTAATGCAACTCAATAGCAAAGCAAATTGCCCCATCTTTCCAACTCCAGAACTGTTTCTTTTCCCAGCAGTTACTAGCACTGACTACACATAAAGAAGGACAAACGCTCCATAGACTGACTCATTAGATGTTGGCTGCAGGTACGAGCCTGCCATTGGCTGCTCATTTCAGGTGACCTAGTCTTCAGTCCACTTCACTACAGAAAACAAAAGCCTCCAGGCAGCAACCTATCACATAGTAAAGTTTTGCAGAGGATTTGGACTATGCATCAAGGCAGCCCTGACCTTTTTTGATGGATTTTCCATTTTAGTGATAGGGCTCATCTCCCTGTGTGCAAAAGTTCCACTAAAACAGCACCACGCGTCACTATTTTGAGGGAACACCAAAGGTGCTTAGCTTCACCCAATGCGATTATGATTTTAAAAAATAACCAAACGAGCTATTCCCCCCTATAGCAGAATGATAATGAAGTGCAGCCATATGATTACGTACTACAGAATGGACAGGCTAAGCGAGACTACACCATCCATAGCACCACCCATAGTTTTCCTGGAAAGCAGTTTTGAAGCTCAGTGGGTTGACTCCGATTTTTCGCCACCTCAGCAGTGCCTGGCTCCTCTTAATTCCTGGCTAATCCAGAAATGACCAAAAAGGTGAAGCATGGCAGGAGCTGAGATGGACCATGCAATTGCTGAGTCATGAACTGTCCTGCAGTGACACGCACATGTCACTCAAAGTGGTCACACTCTTAATTTTGCAAATTTTAAGCCTTAATATAATCCAAACAGGTGAATTATACACAAAATCATCCCCTGTACAGTTATCAACAACACAGAAACTAACTATAGACACCAAGACCAACTTTAATAGCAGGCTGTAAATATGTTTATTCTGCTCTAAAGTTAGACATTTTGGGTTCTACGGGGGTCACTTGTTTGGTGCCAACCTCAAGTGGCTATTTGAGGAACTGTAGTATTACTTTTATACTACATGTATTGCAGACTGAGCTATTGCAGGTTGTTTTTTTCTGGTAGAAATGTCAGAACTACGGTAGTTTGTCCAGACTTTTAAACTTTCTGTTTCAGTGTGTTTCATTCTCTTCACTCACTCCACATTGCATCGATTATTCTGCCCTCTGAGTCCCAAATCACAGCAGAACAGAGCAGTAAAACTCAGAGGGAGACAGACCGGTGTATAAAAAAAGACAGATATTCAAAGTCACAGCTCTTCCGAGACGTGAGGTCAAAGGTCAGGCCGGACCAGCAGAACATGACTTGGCTTTGTTTAACCGAGTGCAGCCCAAATATCTCACCTTTATTCCACCTCAAACCTGTACTCTCGCTCATCCCCCCCGAAAAAAGTCAGCGTCCTCAAAACCTTACACTTTCTTTCTCCAGAGATGTCTCCCTTGAGTTTCACTTTTTTATTTTAGTTTTTTTTTTATTTTAAACCACATGGATTGTACTTGTTGCATAAATCAGTGATCGTATTGATGGTAAGAGTTTCTCTCCTCATTTGTTTCTCTTCATTTTCATGTAAGCTTTTATCTGACTCTGATCCCTCAGACAAAACTTCAACAACTTTAACCTCCAATACTTCACTAATCTGACTTTCTTTGACAATATTTGCTTAAAATTTTGTCAAATTGGCACTAAAGTATGCCACATCAACTATCATCAATTCCTGTTTGCATCTTACCGTGAACATATGGACAAGAATGAATGAATTACTGCAATACTGAGGAAAACCTAAAGATGTGATGAGTTTCAGGCAAGTTTTAGAGCCATAAAGGATGAGTTATAAAGCTTTTTCTTTGGCGATGAATAAACCTAAAGGCACATTCCTTTTGTCATATAACTATGCTCACTTTTACATTTTTTATCTTCAGTTTGTGTTACTTAACGTAGCTTCTATACCACAACTATTCATACAATAAAACGTGCCTAACTCACTCACACAATAGGTACAATTCATAAAAAAAACAGCTATAATCGACCAGCAGTTCGTCAAGCAGTAAAAAGCAATAAAAAGACTGTTTTAAATAGAAGAAAGCAGCTGTAGTCAAGCCAGTGAATAAGATAATAAAAGGTAATAAAAATGGATAACAGATAAAAAGACAGACTGAAAAAAAGAGCTGTAAAATACTTATAGCAGGTTCTTAGATGAGAAAATACAACAAGTTTTCTGGGTAATGGGGACGTAATATCTGGGTGAACATCATATGTAGCTGAAGCCTAATGTATACAGCAGCTGTGGGTATTTCCTCTGTGTTGTTTTACAGTGACACGCTGGCCGTGTTTCCATGTAGCATGCAGTTTGTGAACAGCCTCCTTCACGTCCCCCCCATCTCTTATGGGAATTCCCATAATGAGCGACAAAAACCAGCTGGACGCAGGTGTTGTGTATAAACCCCAATACATTATCCCACTGGGCTTCCCTCGCCCACCTCCTCATCCTTCACCTCTTTGTCTGCACTCACATCCACCCCCTTTCTCCTCTCGCTGTTTCCATTTACACATCCTCATTAACTTCCATCTTCCTAAATCTTGTTGTTTTCTCCACCTCTGTCTCCACATCCTGCTTCTGCCACATCCTCACAGTCATCCGTCCTCCCCCCACACCCGGCTTCATCTTCTCTCCAGCAATCCTGTCACAGCGCATCTCCGGCTTCTTCCACCCATCCTCGTCTTCCTTCGTTATTCATTTTGAGATCTCTTCATTCCGCTCTGGATTATGTCCTCCATCAGTCTGTCTACCAACACACACCCTTTTAACTAAAACGAACTAACGAGGAAGCAACGTTTACTTCCGCGTTTCTATTTTTTTTTGTTTACCTTTTTCGCAAGTAGCTCCGCCGTAGCTGGGCAGACAAAGACACACAAAGGAGTTGATCTCGTCGATGCAGGTTCCTCCGTTCTGGCATGGATTCGACTGGCAGTCATCAATGTCTGGAGGGAGAGAGGAAGAGAGAGGGCATCAGGTTAGATAGAAACACGCACTTTCCAATCGGCTACTTTTTAAACTACCTGCCACAGCTTGTTACCAGAAAAAAGGGAAAAAAAGAAAACCCTGAGAGATCAAACTTTTGGAGAGATTAGAGGTGTTTCTGAGAAAGTTATAATTAAGGCGAATTGATTGAACTTCATCAGCGAGCGGTTTGGGGATGCACTGAAGCGCATGATGCTAATTGCAATGTGTTTGCGGGACGTGCTGCAGTTCTGCTGTCAGACTCCAGCCACGAGAGTGAGGGAGAGTTTGGAGGGAAAAGTGGAAAGAAAGAGGAGAAAAACACTCCAGTTAAGGACGACTTTCCATCTTCAACACTTGCTCCCACACAATGCACCAGTCATCTCGCTAGCAGCTACAAAAACACACACACACACACAAATCCATTTGAATGCGTGCTAAAGTGACCAGACACATTGCGCACGGAATGCAGATGTGATCCCTCAGATCACATATCAAAAAAATCAAGTTTGCGAACGCATGCAAATTCATATTTCGCAGAGGCGTCGGGGGTGAGAGCGCCAGTTCTGTTGAGAAAATAGTAACTGTATTTTTTTTTTCTCTCTCTCTCTTGCTGATCTGGGCCTGGGGGCAAAATCATTAAAACTGCAGCTGGTATCCCACAATCCTCTACCATCGCAACAACTGAGCGAGTCCCTGGGGCCTCGGCAAGAGGTCACGGGAGGGGAGGGGAGGTGGTGGAAAGTGTGAAAGAGTGAGGGGAAGATGTGGGGATAAAGAGGCACGGAAGAGAGTTGCGAGGGAGAGGTGATGAAAAACAAGGGTGGGTGCCGAAAGACAGAGGAGAGGTGATGCGATTCCGCGAGAACGGGAAGTTGGCAAGTTTCAGGGGTTGGATTACAGGGGCTTTGCAGGCAGACAGCGTTTGGGGCGGAAGAGTGTGTTTGGATAAAACAGCATGACAGCTTCATTGCTGGTTCCCCGCTTTGGGCTGGCTGATATCAAAGGCTTGAATTTGATGCAGGAGGTAGAGACCCAGCCAGAGGAGCTGGAATGAGATGGTTGGTTTAGTGTATCGCGGGATATCCATGTATAACTGTCTGTCTGGCTCATGACGGGGCGGAAGAAATAAAATACAACAAGAGAACAGAATAACAAAGCGGAGACAGCCAGAGAGTAAACACTTCCCCCCCAGCATGAAAATGAGTTTTAAGTCTGGTTCAGATAATCTGACATCAAGTGGGCGGCGGGTCCACATTTTTTTGGTGGAGGAAATAGCTAAGGCTTAAATCCTTTTTTGAACTTTAAGAGGCACAGTGATGTTGCAGATGAGGCTCAATTTACAATTCAGCATGTGAAAGCCAGTCTTCAGCGCTTCTGGAATGAAGGTTAAATGTCAGCAGGGTTGTCTTGGATTGACTTTTTTGAATCAAAAGAGAGCAGGAAAAAAAAAAAAGGAATGCATAAATTACTGGCATAACGGCACCACCTATAGGCTGCTTCATATAATCACATTAACTCCTCGTCGCATGAGTTGCCTCGACTGCAGACTCACAGAACCACTTTCAAATTGTTTGGGAAAAGTGGGTTAAGCCCCAAAATGCTGACACAAAAGCAAAATAAATAAATAAATAGATAAAAAGCAGACCTCAGATGGCGGAGACACACAGTCACAGGATTTGTGCAAATGTGTTCGTGAAGGGCAGATTTAAACGTTTCAACATGGATTTGCAAATTTATCACGAATCACTGCGAACAAGACCTTTCTAAGGAAAACTACAGGAGCTATGTTCTCCAAAAACGGCACTGAAAAAGCTTTTTTTTTTTTCTGAACACGAACTGCTCTCTGTGAGTCCGGCTTTTCAGAGCTGGTGTTCGTACCTCACTGTCCCACTGAATAAGTTAAGCATCATACATTTTTATTGCGTTACTGAAAGTTAGACTGCATCGTGGGATTTCTAGGGTTTCTAGTGCTGACGAGTACAAGTTTCAATCTTCACTGCTCTTGTTTTATTCTGTTTCTTATGAGTCCTTCAGATGTAACCCTCTGAACCCCAAAACCTACAAAACCATGCCTTTCAAACTCGTAGGTTTGAAAGGCATGGTTATGTTTTTTGGAAAAATCGCCAAAACTGCAGCATGTGTCAGAGTCAAAAACTGTAAAAACAAAAAGAGTTATTGGATTTCCAACTTTCTGAGCAGCCTTTAAATGAGGGATATGACGTTTGGTAGGCACAATTATACAAATCTAACCTACAAAATGTTAAAAACGTATCAATTCATCAATTTCTTTTTTTTTTAAATTTACATTTTTGATGTTAAAATTCTCCAAAAATACCGTTTGCACAAAGCAGATCCCATAAAAACATCACTCTTTCGCACAACCATAAAGCCAGGACTGACTCACATGCAACCAACAGTCACATTTGATTATTTTTGCTTGAACTGCAGGATGTGTTTACACCGAGCAGATAGGAGACAAGTATGGAGAGAAATTACAATGTAAAATATCTATAGTATGTAGCATCAATTCTTTTTTCCAAGTACTGGTAACACCTGTTATTTGTTTTACATGCAGATTTCAGATATTAATACTAACAATCACCCTTTTTTAATCTTTTCTGGCGTTCTACCTTTGTCATACTGCACAAATGATTGTTTCTGGTAGTCCTCTTTACTTCTAACCGTAGGTGCAGGACTTTTATTGCAGTGCAAAATGAGCCCAGAAAAACATCACAAAACTTGAGGCTCACAGCATTTAGGAAGTGCGATACTAAACAGCAGCAAACTGTAGGTGTGTTGCTATGAGCCTTTTTATACCTTAACACCATTACTGAATAGTTTCAGTTCCCACCACAACCGAGTGGAAACATCACTCTGCAGGGTTACCGTCAGTTGTGACAAGTGACATTTTGAGTCTACTGCGGTACTTGATCATGCAGTGCTTTGCCGTAAATAGGAGCCACACGGCATTAATGGTGTTAAACAGTGTGTTGGTGAAGCGACAGATGAACAGCAGTGTTTTATCTCGAGCAGGCACAGAGTCACAGAAGCTTATTAAAGGCAGAAAATATGACTATACAAGAGTTTTAAAAAATAGATATTTAATTATAATTGTAAATTCGACCTGTCCAGGGTGTCCCCTGCCTTCGCCCTGAGTCAGCTGGGATAGACTCCAGCCCCTCGCAACCCTAGTGAGGATTAAGCGGTGTATAGATAATGGATGGATGGATAATTGTACATTTTGCTTTTTCACTTCCTTATTTACTTGCAAGATTTCACCTGAGCAATGTGACCTTAAAGTGTTCATACTCAGCATGAACACATGAATAAAGATCCCCGAATGAATCTTTAAAGAACTCTGTGTAAATGAAAGACATGAAGAGTGATAGACAGGATATTTGCCCCACTTCTACATTCGCTATGAACCAACAGATGAGCAGGTTGTCAGTACAGCTGTTCAAAAAGGAAAAAAAAAAAAAACCTCCAACACAAGCCAGCATCTGGTCTCATTAAGCTCAGCAGCGCAGAGGTATAAGCCAAGGAGCGGAGGAACCCCTTGGATTTTAGGAGCACAGGGGTCAATAAAGCACAGCTCTGAACATCAGCTATTAGTGGTATTACTACAGCAGACCAGCAGATATTATCTGAGATGAGAGCCAATAGAGAGGCTCTATAGATATTAGTGGCTTCTTCTTGTCAAGTTCACAGAAATCTGGAGAGATTCAAGCACCAAAGTGGTTGATGTACACTAATAAGACCAATCCCTACAGCTCAAATCAAAATATACTTCAGAAAACCGTGCATGCAAAAAGAATATTATCCATAAATGTAGTTTCTGGAGACGGGCATTTTCATTTTCACATGAGCAATTTTCTGGCCTTGAGGGAAAGCTACAAATTATTTGATTAGATTTTCTTTGGACCTCTGTGACTTTAATGAGACGGAGCTCTGGATTAACAGCTGAGGACCAACACAGCAGCTTTAGATTGGAGCAGATTGGACTTTACTCGTCCCGCTGACATCTTTAATAACAAAAATTAAGGGATTCTTATCAAAAATGATTATATTCTGGTGCAAAATAGTAAACAAAAAACAAATTAAAAAATACACACCAAAAACACCATTAATAACACTATGGACCTCACAAATGCAGTACTGTCCAGGTTTTGATAAAAACAGACATCCAGAACAATCAGAATACGGCTGATTAAAAACGGTCCATCAATCTGTTTCCTCCAGACGTTGGACGGCATCTTCAGCGGTATAAATGTTTAATTAAAAAACTTTAAATTACAGAGTAGGTGCAACTTTATCTTCCTTCTTATTCAAAAGTCGGTAAATGCACAAATCTTTTCTATTTTGCCCGATTTACTGTCGGACACAAGCTTCCCTCGACTTTTACATTTTTTTTCACTGTATGAGAACTGGAAGCTTTAAGTATGAGTTGCAGACTTGGCCGTCGCTGACTTCCAAACTGCTTGTACTGTCCAAGCAGCAACCTCCGGGACTGAAAAATGAAGCCAACGCTGAAGTAGAAGAAACATGCAGTTCCGTGAGTGGGCACTTGAGGCTGGCTCCGAAGGCGAGTCGATCCCCACAGACCTTCATGTTAAAATGTCCAACTTTACTGAAGAAATAGACATGTTTACAGCCTGGTACAAGACACGGTTTTGGTCTCTTTAGCTAATTTCCTTGTTTGTGACAACTGCCCAGGGGAGGAATTTTTATATGACTCACTCAGTTTAAGTGTATTAATGCTTAAAGTTACGCATAATTAGGGCATGGCTGTTTTAAGTGGCAGGTGGGTGCCATCAGAATCAATCAGGTACTAGAGTCCCCACACTGAGCTTCAAACTGCTCTTCAGGGAACCTACAGGTGTCACCTTTATGGTCAGTAGTACCATCATAAAATCTATCAAATTCTGCACATCTTGCAGGCGAAGGTGAAACATCCAAGTTAAGTCGCAGTAAGCAACAT